CTCACCGCAACCTCTGCTTCCTGGGTTCAGGCAATTCTCCTGCCTCAGCCTCCTGAGTAGTTGGGATTACAGGCACGCGCCACCACGCCCAGCTGATTTTTTGTATTTTTTTTTAGTAGAGACGGGGTTTCACCATGTTGACCAGGATGGTCTTGATCTCTTGACCTCGTGATCCACCCGCCTCAGCCTCCCAAAGTGCTGGGATTACAGGCTTGAGCCACCGCGCCCGGCTCAGAGTGCCCATTTTAACAAAAATCTTTCAATCTGCCTATGACCTGGAAGCTCCTCCACCCCTGCTTCAAGTTGCCTGGCGTTTTGGACTGAACCAATGTACATCTTACATGTATTGATTGATGTCTTATGTCTCCCTGAAATGTTTAAAACCGAGCTGTAGCTCAGCCACCTTGGGCACCTGTTGTCAGGATCTTCTGGGGCTGTGTCAGGGGACCTTGGTCACTTATATTTGGCTCAGAAGAAATCTCTTCAAATATTTTACAAAATTTAACTCTTTTCATTGACAGAACCTTAGAATTTAGGGTGGGAAGACACAGAACTTGCAAGTGTATGTGAGGAAGAGCAGAGAAGAGGATTGCCGCTCTCTGCTACTGAAGATGGAATGCCTGTTGCTTGCAGGGCTTAGGGGGCATGGAGTGTGGGAAGACCAGAGCCAGCAGGGCTTCCCTCTCTCTAGGAAAGTAGCAAAGTGGAGATCAGAGCGGAAGAAGCTGTTAATTAACTGCATTCCTTCTTCCCCCTAGGAGCAGCGGGAGTAGAGAAACTACACTTCATTCATCTTTAGATGAGCAGAGGAGGAAGTTTTAGCAAACTGGAAGGTAATTTCTCCTACAGACACTCCAAATTATCATTCTGAAGGCTGTTGCAGTACCAGGAAAAAAAAAAAAAAAAAAAAAAAAAGCAACAGAAATACTTTCACCTCCATTAGAAAGACAGCGAAGTTAGAAAGTATTAGTTTTCAGGCACAAAAATTCTTCGCCCAACCAGTAATCTGGGAAACATTTGATATTTGTTTTCCTCACCTCAACCCCAAAATGATGTGTAGGAACAGTGTTTAAGATTTTGGATAAATAATGAATTAATGGAGAAATTCCACATCTCCCAGCCACAGAGTAGGTCTGAACTCAGAAGTGCTCCTTAAGTGTCACACGCATAAATGAGAACAGTAAGGACTCCAGCGTGCTTCTCCTTCAACGCAGAATGTGGCTGAAGGTCTTGGGCAGTGTCATTTTATTTCTTCACCATGAAGGGTGGGAATATATCATCTTTAAGGGGTGGCCCGTGAGTCATCCGGGGAACAGCAGAGGCATGGGGCTGTGGTCTGAGGCCAAAGGTCTGACTTATTCTTAGGGCATCGTAACTGGGGGTGTTTCACCCCTTCCTGACCTAGGTCCTGCTTCCACTGGAGGGAGGCCTCTTTGCCATCGTGTTCATGGCTGGCTGGCACTGGACTCTGGTCCCTCCCATGACATTGTCAAGCAGGGGTACCCTGAAAATGACTTGCATGACTATTGCCTCAATTTTCAAAGGGATAGTATATAATTAGTAACATTCTAATTGCATAGAAATAATTTATGATTCAAAGAATGCTTATGGCATGGAGGCTTAATTCTTGTGAAACTCTGGTTGAGGACTGGAATACTTTACCTCAACTGAAAATAGACCTTTGGTCTGAACAAAAAGGTCCTTCACATTCTGCTCAGCCAAATCACTTCCCCAACCTCCTCAAAACCTTTCCAAATATTTATTGCCTCCTGGAAATATTTTCTTTCTTAAATGCATGATTCCAACCCAGACCCTCTACAGGGGGACTTGCCGGATGAAAGAGATGAGAGAAGACAGAAAGCCTTGCAGTCAAACAGACCTGGATTAAATCCTAGCTCTGCTGCTTACCAGCTGCATGACTTGGGACAACTTATGAGCTTCAACTTCCTCATTTGTAAAATGAAGATTAAAAGAGATAAAGCACAGATAGTTCCATGCCTGTTGCATAGATGGCTGTTTCAGTAATCTATGAGTAACAAACCATTTCTTTTCTTTTCTTTTCTTTTTTTTTTTTTTTTTGAGAAAGAGTCTCGCTCTGTTGCCAGGCGCCAGGCTGGAGTGCAGTGGCACAATCTCAGCTCACTGCAACCTCCGCCTCCTGGGTTCAAGCAATTCTCCTGCCTCAGCCTCCCAAGTAGCTGGGACTACAGGCACATGCCACCACACCCAGCTAATTTTTGTATTTTTAGTAGAGACAGGGTTTCACCATGTTGGCCAGGATGGTCTCCATCTCTTGACCTGGTGATCCGCCCGCCTCGGCCTCCCAAAGTGCTGGGATTACAGGCTTGAGCCACCACGCCCGGCTGAGTAACAAACCATTTCAAAATTTAGTGGCTTGATACAACAGCCCCTATTGATTTGCTCATGATTTTACAATTTGGACAGGGCTCTGCAGGGATGACTTGTCTCTACTCTACAAGGTGTTGATTGGGCTTAACTGGGGCTGTAGGGTCCAAGGTGGCCACATGTGTCCAGGGCCATGGTGTTGGCTCTCAGCTGGGATGCTTGGTTGTCCTCCAAGTGGCCTCTCATAATTTAGTAATCT